TCAGCCAATGTGTGCTAGCATCTGCCAGTCGAACCTGTAAAATACTGAAGTTAAGAATACGCACATCATTTTCAATATTATTCTGAAGTGAAAATAAGGCTGTTACTGACTTCAACTATAAGAAACAACACCTTCTTAAGTGAAGTCTCAGTAGGCTGATTACTCAGACTACAAGTTATACCCAGGCCATGTCCAATCAATTTAATTTCATAATATCGGGCCTGCCATAGAAACACCTACAGGTAGGGATATGAATAAACGAGCAAGGGTGCTGTTTATTTGAAGACTCATTTTCTTCAATAGGAAACTGTGATTAAAATTCGTCCTTTTTCCATGCTGTAGCTCCTTTATTTAATTTCCAATTTCAAAAGTTTTGAAATTTGAAGTGAAGCCAGCATTTGATTCATTGAAATAAGGCACAAATAAGAACAAAGATTTTACAGGAACATCAATTTTAAGCGTTTTAGTTAAAATCCACACTCATTTTGTGTACAAAATAATCACAGTTTGCTCTGCATTACACATGTACAAAAAAATCTCAAAACATCCCCACTTCAAATAGATTTTTCTTTGCTTTGCAGAGTCCGATGGAATCCAAATTTAAAACAAATTTTCTTACGACATCCTCTTCAAGATAACATCAAAAATAAAAAAGAAAAAATAATTCAAAAATTTATTAGCCTCCCTACACAGGTGTAGGTAGTCCCAACATTGGATTATTATCATGATGTACATATGTACATCTATGATCTAGTCCAAGTCACCTGCGAGTAAACAAGGACCAAAAATCACCTTTTAAACATTTATTCATAAATAATAATAATTAAGTAATCGCGTCTAATTACTTATAAAAAAGCAATCTGTACTCTTTTTGGGAGGGTCATATTTTGTAGTGTAACCTGCGTTCCAGATTACCTTACCCCCCGGCACGTCCTGCTACTGCAAGTGAATGTTTCACTTCAGGGTGGTTTTATCAGAGTTTGTAAGTAGACTGACCAACGGCTAGTAGATAATTTCTGAACGCTTTAATCTCATCAATATAGGCCAACGTTTTTCTGCCATGTAAAAAGGGAAAGTAAATCGTGTCGGTTTTTACTTATGCCTACAGCGAAAGGAAACCGCTAACGTTAGCGCTACGGCAGGATAGTATACAGGTGGTACACACACACAAAAATAAGCCATGAAGCAAATAAAAACAGTCAGCGCACCCATGAGAAGAATCGAAAATTGTTATTGTTTTCTAAGGTATGGAGACTAGGAGCCAAGCACAGGTTTTTCTGAAAGTAGAAACTTGCTAAAAGTTGACGACAGATGGCGCACTTCTTATTAATGAAAAGCGCTTGATTGAGGAGAGGGTGAGTTGAAAGAGGAGTTCTTTAATATGAATTTTTCTTGTGCTATAGGGCCTAAAGATGACAGACGTCGTTTATTTGCAGTTGATAAACAGTCTAATTGCTTCCCGTGTTCCATCATTTATCGTTTAGTATTTGAATTCACATTTAGGAAAAAGTTGTATTCGCCCCCACTTGCTTCAATCTTTAAGCCTTGTTGCAACAGCAAGTTACATGTAGGCCCTGCACGTAGGCCTATGTAAAGTAGGCCTTAGTCCTTGGCTTGCTCAACGTTAAATGAAAATGACATGAAAATGGAACTGAAAACAAGTTCAATTAAAATGCACTCAACATTCCATAGCCTTTGTACACAACCATCAAAGTGGAGCCAGGATGCTGCCGTTTTTCTCTGCAAGTGCAACTACTGAACCAGGGCCTGGCCTAGACCTACATGTGGCTAGTATGTGTGTACCTTCCACTCAGCTGCCTTTTGGAGGAAGGAAAAATGTTGTCATTTCGTCATTGTGTGTCTCCCTAAGGGGCGCAATGACGAGCCTCATAGTCCTAGGGATAGGCACACTGAACCTTGGGCACTGTCCGTTGATTTGCACGAACACTGCCTGACAACTGTATGTCATTAAAGTGGAAATGATCTTGCATTGAAAGCAGTGTGTCACAGCTGAGTCATGGCATTACAAGCCGAGTAAGTCCAGCAAATAATATCATATGCTGTTCAAGTGAACTGTCACAAAGGCATTCATCTGTCATTTTCACTCTGTTAGGCCATGAGAATAGAAAATGTAGATTTGTGTCCCAACTACCGGTATTACAAAAATTCACAAGGCATTTTTTCATTTTTCATTATTTTATTTCAACCTCCAAGTACAGACACTTTCCAAATAATTCTGCCAAACTACAACCAAAAGCCTTGCTGAGGGATGGGCCACAAGTAGGCCCTTCATCAGTTCATGGAGCAGGTCAAATTAGTGATCTTTGCAAAAAAAACCTGCAGTAAAACGTTCAAAATAACCGTACAAGCTGATCCGATGTGCATGGGCTGGCCATAGCTCAAGCAGACATCTGGACATACGAAAGCCATCTAAATTGAAGTAAATATGAATGAAATGCATAAGGTACAGCTTCTAGAGGATTTGGAACTCTGATTTTGGTGATTTTGTGTCTTTTCTTACATACACTGAATTTTTTGTAAATAATGATTTGGGGGAGGGTGGCATCAGGTGGATGCAAATCTACAACTTCTGTTTTCATGGTCTTACATATGACTGGTCTTGTGAAATGGCATACGATGGATTTGAATGCAACACCCGATCAAAACCAGGAAAACTTATGTGTCAAAGTTTCTCCTGGGAGTGTTAAAATCAGTCGACTTTCTCTTTCTTTTGACTGAAGAGGAAATTTGAAGGATCGATTGTGTCCGGCAAGAGTCACGATGGCCGACAAGTTTCTACAAATTCAGCAGCAGATGCGTCACGACAACGAGGACCTTCAGGCCTACCTGCGCGACCTCAAGAATTGGGAGACAGACATCAAGCAGAAAGATGAGGAGCTGCGACAAACAAGAGACACTCAAGAGGCAGTGAGTCCCTCTTCTTAAACGCTCTGTCAGTGGCTTAGTCACCAGGAGATAATGCTGTTGAGCATTTACCTTACACATCTATCATTAATCTGGCGAGTTAGTCTCAATGATCGTAACTCATAGTTCAGAAAGACAGCATCTTAGTTTAGGAGAGGTACATTTCACTCTTTTTCAGAAAACTAAGATCTTCGTTTTTTGTTGTTTTTTTTTTTTGAGGAGGTTCATTTCTCATTCGATAATATTTTGTAACCTGTTAAAATCAGAGCATTAAGAGATATATGGTTTTCAAAATTCACTCTCAGGTATGTAATTTTTGTGTTTACATTGGAGGTCCTCCCACCGATCCGAAACCAAGGAAAAAGGAAGCCCAAGGAAGCTAGAAAGAAAAAGTTGAAGCCCACAATGAAACAGTCGCCATCCGCAGATGGAGACCAGAATGGAAGCGGCTCAGGGCACTCACGGATCCGAGCCTATGATTACAGGTCCTGGGACAAGTTTGACGTGGTACGTCTGTCAGTAGCGCTAGCCGTAATCAAGTTGAGTTGGGTCAGTGCCATAGAAATAATTAGAAGACTCAGTGATTGAACCACATCTCACCGTATGACGTGCAAGAATGTCCTTTCTTGTAATACAGAGAATCTGTAAACGGCCAATGCTTCATGCAGTGCTGGGGGGGGGGGGACATCTGTACTCGTTTCCCCACCATGAGTGATTGCTGTTGAGTTAGTTCATACACAGGGTAGGATCCAGTCTGTGGAGGTTGAGGGCTTAGCATTTTAGTAAATATCACTCCATTACAGCATTGTGGACTTTCACGGAAAGCTGTAGCTTACACAGAGATTTTGCATGTTCCAAGATGTTAAACGGGAGGACATGCTGTCCTAGCGATGTCTCTGGTCCATTTTGCCCGTGGCTTTTGCAGTGTAAAGAAAAATTATGCAACACTTGGATGCATTATTCCAATGTGGCATTTGATTAAATTTAATTAATTGATTCCATTTTAGGACAAAGCTTGCGCTGACCTGGATAGCGATGAAGATGACATGGCCCCAGTTGCTCAGGATGAGAATGGAAAGGACATGGATATGGAGACAGAGACGGACAGCGAGGAAGAACGAGAGTTGGAGAGACAGCGCAGGATCCAGCAAGCCAGCATGGAGAAGGAAAAGGTCAGTGCACGGACTCTGCGCTCAAGCACCTCCCCCTATCAGTTTAGTACACAGAGAGAGGGGAGCAGACTGACATTTCAAGTGTTGCCGTTGCTGTTTGCCGTACACACATTTCACAGCTTCACAGGATTCAGTCGCACAGCATAAGCCAATTTTGTGGCTACGACTTCACTTCTACCATTGTTTCGTTACCTCAAAGAGCCATAGATAACAGTGCCAGTTAGGAGCAGCATCCTAGTCTTGTATTTGGAAGGAGACTGATTTGAAGCTTTTCTAGAGTTTCAGCGCCAAAATGGGAACCTTTTAAAACTCAACTTTGTCAAACAAGTTAAACTGTACTCGACAAAAATGAATGCTTAAATGTACGTACCCTGCGCTCAAAAGGGATGCATAGATTTTAGCAGGATGAAAATGTCAGGCTTTGTGGGTCTGGTCACAGCCTTTTCTCTCTGTCCCCTGTTTTGTTACCAGGGCAATGCATTGTTCAAACAAGGCAAATTTGAGGCTGCCGTCGTGTGCTATACAGCAGGCATGGAAGCAGATCCCACCAACGCCATACTGCCAGCCAACAGGGCAATGGCATGCTTAAAGTTGAGAAGGTAGGCAAGTTTGGCAAGGATGTGAAAAGTTATTTAATCCCCTTTTTCCTGAGGTGTGGTGGTTTGGCATCTTTTTATGAGGGTGTGAAAATGTTATTTAAACATTTTTGGTTTGGTCACCCTGCGTCTATGCTCTTTGACAGATTAAAACAGCAACATAACATTAAAAAACAACTTTTTAAAATACAGTTGTAATCTTTTTTCCCGTTCATGTTTTTCTTTACATTGGAACTGCACAGTAAGTTTAAAATGGGTCTGCTAGCCATTCACCTTCTAACCTGTTGTTCCCCCGCCCCTCACTCACTGTCCATCCCCATCTGGAGAAAACTTTTGAAAAACTTTGCATTTGTTTGAAATTGGGCTCCTACGGTCCTTGAAAGTCTAGGAAATTTTAAAAATGCCTTTACAAGGCCTTTACAGTCCTGGAATTTATCATTAGTACTTGGAAATGCACTTTTTATGATGACAGTATCAATTCATGCAATGTGAGTAATGTGACAAAATTTAGGGTCTCAAAATAAACCATCAACAGGCAAAATGGACTGACTAGTTTCCCTAGTTACTTGGGTGAGGAAAAAAAATTTAGTTGTGGCTCCTTGTAAAATAATTAACCAAACTTCTTACTTATTTGAATAAATTAATACAAATCAAATGAGCCAGGACCAATTGATTTCGGTAGTTTTTCGTCAGGATTTTCCTGATTTCAATTTTTTTTAAACAGTCTCTTTTAAAACCTGGGAAATCACAAGTTAATACCATTAAGTTCTTTTTAAAAACAAGTATGAAAGTTGATATAGAACAAAAGAAATGGGCTATTTAAGGTGTGCCCTTAGGCAAACAAGATTTATACCATAGCCCCTACACTGCTGTGGGTCCTCAAACTTCTGGTGATTATTTAATGGATATTTCACTTCTTCCAGTATCACCCCTGACATGGTAATACCAGTCAAAACTAAAGCCAAGTGTCATCTTTAAACTGGGCTGTTTAGGTTTGAGGATGCCGAGAGGGACTGTGACAAGTCTATTTCCCTGGACTGCACTTACGTCAAGGCATACGCAAGAAGGGCGGGTGCGAGATTTGGACTGGGGAAACTAGAAGCAGCCAGGAAAGGTAAGAAAGCCCTACCCACACTGCCACCCCACCACGGGGTCAGCCTACCATATGACGCTCCCCCATAGACTTGACACAGGTGCTCGCCACGGAGTACAGAAGACGTCCTACTGAAGAGAAGGAATCATCCTTCCTTCTTGTTTTCTGTCCTCTGTGGTAAAGCAAAACACATTCACGTTGCGAATAAGACTTTTATTATCGCTAGACAAACGAGACTGAGTTGAGGACACTTCAGCATGTCTGCACAACATCGCTGGTCTGTACAAGCAACTGTCAATTAACCATTGCATGACCCCTGCATGACGATCACACAACGCGCGTGGGCTCTCCACATCCGCAAAATAAAATGCGCACGTATCTTTCAACTACAGATTACCAGCAGGTGCTGAACCTGGAGCCCAGCAACAAGCAGGCCGCCTCAGAGATTAATAGAATAGACAAGACACTGAAGAACAGGGAAGAGACGGAGAGGCAAAAACGAGAAGGGGTGTACAACGTCATACAGGCGGTAGAGAAGCCCGTCCACTTAAGGTCAAAGGTGAGCGATGACAAGGTTGTTGTCAGCTTGATTTGCCTGACGGGACTTCAGATGAACTGACAAGATCAACCTGCCCATAGCCTCAATCAAAATAAGGGGCAGGTTTAAGTGACAGCAGCAAGTTGATTTTCCTAGGTAACCCTGCGCACAAAATCTATTCTGGGTTCCATGCAAACATCGACCTGTGGTTGACAGATGGTCACCGCTCGAACCTATCTCTCTTTAAATTGACTGTGCACTAAATTATGCACTCGTTTGCGCGCCCATAGGGCTATGTCCATCGTGTGTATGTATGCCTTTTTGGGGGGAGCATTGTGGAAAAGTTGAGGCTTGCCACTGTGCTTTAATTATTGACAGTGCTGGTCTGAGAGAGTGGTCTAGAAATGCAGCCAGCCTTACATTTTATACAAACAGGTGGCACTTAAAAGGTACCTTCATATATCACTCAATAAAAGTCACCTGATTTGTTCCGTCTTGAGTGCACAGACATGTGACTCGAGCAAGAGAATGTTGGTCCTACCAACACCATTTGCAAGGGTCGGTTTTTGAACAAAAGTCCAAAACTTCTACGATTTGGGGGCAATTTCAGTGCAGGACTAGGGGAGTTAAATTGTGAGGGACTTACTCCTCCTGAAAGTTGAAATGAACAGAAATTGCCATTTGGTT